TGCCTGTCTTCCCAAAGGGAAGGAGCGTGGTTTCCTCCTGCAGCAAAGGGAACTGCAGGATGGGGAAGACATCAAGTGGAAGGGAAAACTCCCGTCCTCTCCGCCTTATTGTTTCAGAAGTCCTGCTTTTCTAGTCCGATCTCAAAACTCAATTGCAAGCTACGTTTGGTAGCATTTATTTAATACAACCCTTTATTTAGCATTGATTAAATTAACTGATCTTTTTAAAAAATTCACTATCTTTAAAAAAATAGTATCACTTTAATGTGACTGTTTGCATCTTTCTTAAGTGTTCCAGGAGTCTGTGTAATTCATATTTTTAGCAAACCTTTGCGAACAACATTGTAAAAGGCTGGTCTTTAATATAGGAAAGTAGGCTAGGGTATCCTTGTATAATTCTCTGAAGGGGAGATTTTTTATTATCCTATGAAATGTCTCTGACTTTGTGCTATTAAAAATGTGAAAAATACTTTTGACTTTGGACTATATAATATTATAAAAATTTGCATTTGGGCATAAAATGTAGACTTAAAATGAGCTGACCTAAGAAGACCTTGTGTTGAACTGTTTCACTTCTTTTGGCGTTTATTTGCCTCACGGCGTATTTTTTTCCTCCTTGCCCTCTTCTTGCTTTCTCAATTTTGTAAATTCTGACAACGTAGAAGATTTGTAATTCCCTTGTGGCAATGTAGGCACATGCAGTATTTGAAAGAAGAAGCAATGTGAAACATTCTACTTGGTAGGTAATGCCAACTATTAAAATCTTTTTTTTTTTTTTTTTTTTTTTTTAAAAAGCAGTCTCCACATGAATAGAAACTCCAATTGCCTTAATTAACTTCAAAACCTGTCAAACATTGAACATTGTGGGTATCTTATTTCCTGGGAAAAAATCTTACTTTTCAACTTTTCCCGAACTGGTTACAAGCGAAGTCCAGACAGATTTTTTTTGTGTGTGTGTGTGTGTGTGTGTTTCAGGTACTAAAGAAGTAAAAAGACAGGCTTTGTCACCTTCAGTGGATATATTCCAATTAGATTAATATCTTGTTATGACAAGTCTGGATTTCCCAGGTCCTGGTCATACATAGTGTTGTTTTTCTTTGTTTCTGCTAAACAATTTGGAGGGCACCTGAGTGGCTCAGTGCTTAAGCATCTGACTTTGGCTCAGGTCATGATCTCATGGTTCGTGGGTTCGAGCCCCACGACGGGCTTTGTGCTGACAGCATGGAGCCTGCTTCAGATTCTGTGTCTCCCTCTCTCTCTGTCCCTCCCTCACTCACACTCCGTCTGTCTGTCTCTCTGTCTCTCTCAAAAATAAACATTTAAAAAAATAAACTATTTGGAGACTTTTAAATACATTAGGTTAATTGGATAATTATCAGTTGTCTACCTTGTATTGTGTGCTTACAGTTAAACTCAGGGGTAGCATCCTTATTTTTTATAGAATTTGGATTAGCTTCTGTATCTAGTCTAAAATAATTACATACCTAAATGATATTATTAATGACAAGGATGAACAGTAAATAGAATGGGACCAAATATTTCTATAAATCTCTTCGACATCAAATGAGTATCATTATTTGTCTTGTATCCTTTGAATTCTCTTACCACTCCATCATACCTCAGTGTATTTCCCTCAGAATTGAGGCAAGGTAGACTGTCAAACTTCATGGGAATAGATTTTTAATAAATGATCAGGATGCAAAATATATTTCAATAAAGTAATACAGCAATATTTCAACAACAAAACAATGATAAAATGACAACTTCCTTATTTTCCTTGGCATTTTAAGGTTTATAAAATATTTTCATGATGCATATGTATAATATCCAAACATATTAACACATTATATAAATACAATATTGAGTCCTTACAGAAAGACAGCAGGAAGGATATTGTCTTTATGTCTATCTTATCTTTGGAAAAATAGATAGGTTAAGGAACTCATCAAAGTTTACAAAGCCGGTTAATAAAAGAGCCAGAAAAAAACTTAACTATCTGATTTGCAAACTGTGCTTTATTTTCTTTTTTTAAATGTATTTATTTATTTTGGGAGAGAGAGAAAGAGTGTGTGTGCCCAGGGAAGGGGCAGAGAGAAAGAATCCCAAGCAGGCTCCACGCTGGAGCCCCATGGGGCTCAAACTCATTAACTGTGAGATCATGATCTGAGCCGAAATCAAGAGTCAGACACAACCGACTGAGCCACCCAGGCTCCCCTGCTTTATTTTTTTTTAACTTATTTTTCTTATAATACTTAGGAATAAATTACTATGTTATTATAGTTGGAGACATTAAAGGGGGGATCTTCAGTCTTTTCACAATATCATTATTATAGACAAGGGACTAGCTGATAGGGATATAGAAATTGATGATACATACTGCTTTTTGATAGATGCAAGGCAATACATTTTAGACTAGATAATCCAAGAAACTTTCTGAATTTTTTTTTTTCAACGTTTATTTATTTTTGGGACAGAGAGAGACAGAGCATGAACGGGGGAGGGGCAGAGAGAGAGGGAGACACAGAACCCGAAACAGGCTCCAGGCTCTGAGCCATCAGCCCAGAGCCCGACGCGGGGCTCGAACTCACGGACCGCGAGATCGTGACCTGGCTGAAGTCGGACGCTTAACCGACTGCGCCACCCAGGCGCCCCCAAGAAACTTTCTATAAAATAGGAGTAGTTACAACATTAAATTACTCTTATTTGGTGATTTTTAATATCTTTATTTTTTCCCTTAAACCATCTTCATTTTTTTTTTTTTTGTAGATACCTGTTTCTTTTTTAACACAAAGTATCATTTGTGTGTTTTCCTTACTAATGAGAGATTGTGGTTTAAACCTATGTGCCCTCAAGTGCAATAGAGGCAGAATCTTTATTTACAGTGTTTGATTTACAGTATTTTAAACTTCAGTAGCCTTACATTTTGATTAAGTATTTCTGTTCTTTGTACTCTACCGTTTATCTCTACAAAATCAGCATCCTAATGGGAAGAAGCGTAGTATCCCAGTTCTGCAGTTTCTTTTCCACCAACTTTTCTACACTTAAAATCAGATGAACAAGGGAACAGAACTCTACTGTAGGCAGAAAGTACTTTAAAAACAGCAATAGGGAGGGGTACCTGGGTTGCTAAATCGGTTAAGCCTCCGACTCTTGCTTTGGGCTCTGGTTATGATTTCACAGTTCGTGGGTTCGAGCCCCGCATTGGGCTTTGCGTTGACCGCTGTGGAGACTGCTGGGGTTTCTCTGTCTCTCTGTCTCTGCCCCTCCCCTGCTCGTGTCTCTCTCCCTCTCTCTCTCAAAATAAATAAATAGACTTTTTTCTTAAAGGCAGCAGTAAGAAAAACAGCTTCTTTGTAACTCATGTGTGCTACTATTTTCAGTAAATACTTAGACACTGTACTAATTTCTTTGTTTTGTGAAATTTGCTGTGGAAACCTACTTAATTGCTCTTGAAGTGGTCTCCTGATTTCCTTTAAACTCTGCTTTGATATTTCAGTATGACATTTCAGGCTTTATCTAGAACCAAGCATATGTTTCTGTGTTTCACGAAAAGATAGTCAACTCTTAAAGCAGTATTATGAAGCTAATATGAAAAATTGTGTTTTACTTTATCTCGTGGTTGAATTAAGTAATCCTGAACATTCGAGTGTATGTATTCACTTCAGGATTCCCTAGAGCTGTATCAGCCTTTCCCAAACGGTTTCGTAAAACACAGAGAACCCACCATTCACATGTTATACATGATGTTACTAAATAGTCCAAAAACAGGATCTTTGGTTAAATTGATTTGCAGAACATCGCATAGGCTGTATCTCCTTCTGAGAGTTTTGCAGAGGTCATTTGCATATTAAAGGCTCTGAGGGGCCTTTTCAGTAAAATAATAATACTGATGATGCTGTTAAACGAAATCTGTTTTCTAAACACTTTGAGAAATGCCAAAACATGTACAGTGAATTACTTGCTTGAATTTGTTAACGGATCATGTTATAGCGTTTTATCAATTAAGGTGCAGCCTAATATCAGAGTGAGTCTCTCTCCTTGCTCTTACTCCCAAGCCACTTCTTCATTAGATAAAGGTTTATATGGTCCGGTCCTAAACTTCATAATTGCAGATTGGAAACCAAGTTATTAATAAGCTCAGCTCACCACTCCCCCACATATGAAACATTTATATTTAATTTCTTTCTTAACCTTTTGCCTCTTCGCTCAATCTTTTAAATCCAGTACCAGCAAAAACTCTCTGAACCTTGACCCAACTCCTCACTCTTTGGGTATTTACTAAATACCTCTCGGCTTTACCTCCTTTTCTAGCTTCACCCTTCAGCTCTCCCTCACTAACATAGCCTTCCTTCGACGTCCAAGCCTTCTGAATTCTTTCAGGAAGCTCCTTTTGTCTGTCCTGTGTCCAGTCCCGGTTTTCTCTCATCTGGAAGAAAATACAAACGTGTGCCAAAAATATAAATGACGTTCTCCTCTGAGACATGGTGACATTAGAGTATGGAACATCTCCTCTTACGGAGTGTCATCCCACCTCTTCACGGCATGCACACGCTTGCAGTTCAGTTCAATTCCACGGGGCCGTATCCAGCCTTCTGGTGGACCAGGGAGGGTTGGATAGCTCTTACGAATTGAGCTTTCACTGGTGACTGATGAAGAGGATCAGCTTGCCACTGTCTTTGATTTGAGAAACTAGGCTAGTACCAAGTAACAGTCGCTTTGTATTAATTCCCGTGGAAATGTGCCTTTTCTTTGGTGTGCAAATGGGACTTTGATGGCCTTGCATCAAATGTTTTTCAGGTCTGTTACTCCCTGCTGGATTTGGTTTCTAATTACTGGCAATTTTGGTTTAGTCACCCCCTCTTTACATTCTCCCAACACCTCTGGACCATTCTGGGTTCTACTCTCGGTCTCCATAGCACCCACGGGTGATACTCCATGTATCTGATTGGTCTCAAAGATGGATACCTCAGGAGTAAGCCAGTGCCTGTCTTTGCCCACAGGGGTGCGCCTTGACAGAGTACGTGGAGGTCGGCAGAAGTACAAGCGCAGAATAGATGCGGAGAACAGCCCCTACCTGAACCCTCAGCTGGTTCAGCCAGCCAAAAAGCCATGTAAGTACAACAGACATGTCTGGCTTTCCAACACACGGAATCCTCCCAGTTGGCTCAATGTATATCCGTTTTGGCATGCCCATCCCCACTGACTCCAAGGAGACTAGTCTTTGTTGGGGGCCGTGGCTCTGTTCCCAAGAATTGCCTTTTAGGAGCAACAGTAACTCAGCTAATTATCTTTTTTTTTTTTCCCTATGGTTTCTCTCCCCTACCTTTTTTTCACGTAGTCATTTTGTAGAAGCATAAGCATATTAAGGCATAGCTTATATAGTGAGAATTTTACATTTACTGGTTATCTTTATTTTCAGAGGTACGTAAAATGGATCATACTGTAATCATTAGTTCATTGGAGCTGTTAGTTTCAGATTTCACAAGAAAGTGATTTTTGTAGTTTTCACTAACTAAATGAGTTTGACTGCTCAACCTCCCAATGAAAATACATTAGGAGCCTCATTAATTTGGAGCTATGGAAGGTTAACACACTAGCTAGCAATAGATTAAAACAAGAATGGGCCCTACTAATAACAAGCATAGGTTGGTGGTTCCATCTCAGATGCCCTTATGGGCCTTACGAATTGTTTTTAAAGAGTCCATGGTTTTATAATGCCAGATTGCAATTTGAAAGGATGATGGGTACACTGCTAAAATGCAAGCCCCATTCTCTTTGTCATTAACTAAAAAGAGCCGGGATATAGATGGAGGCAATAACTGCATCCCATTTTCTGAAAAATCAGTTCATAGTTCTAGCACAACAGAGCTAACCTCCTAGGATATTTACGCATAGAGTTCGTACTGGGCACTGAGAAGTGCTTTGATGGAAACGGTTCTCACATTTAGCTGTCTTTGTCTCAGAAGACACAACCAGCACTTAACCAGAGGAAGCTGCATCCAGAGCAGTTGTGGGAAGACACACGGGTAATTTTTGATCTGCTTTCAAGGGAAGAGAAAGTGTCCGCTTCTAATTCAGATTCTCCAGGAGGGGTCGCTGCTGTGCATCATACATGTGAGCATATGGGGATCTGTTAAATAAATAAAACAGACCCTGAACTGTAAATGAAAGGACATTTTAGCTATGTCAAAGGAAAAACAACCAGTTTTACATAAAATTAAAGCTTAAGTGAACATATGGCATAGTTTCCTTTTGCCTTTCCAAAAAACATTATGTTGATTATACCTTCAATTGTCCAATCTGGCATCTTCTCCTCAGCCTGCATAAGCTGGTTGGCATTCTGCAAATACAATCTAGGACTGCATTAAGCAGATTTTGCACATTATAATAAAAAACTTTCTGATAATACAATAAAATGCAATAAACACTAATGCTTAATTTCGTTAGGGGTTAGTTTCCTAGGCTCAATATTACACAGCCTGCCCATTTCTCATTCATTTTGCACGAACATTGACTGAAACCATTGATAATTTCCTCTTCTGAGAGAAAAATGGGCACCAGCCCGTTTGTAAGTCCACACGATAGAGGAACATCTATGGTTTTCGGCGTAAACCTGAGAAATTGGGAAGTGGCTTGTCAAGTACCTTTAAGAAGATTATAGCAATTTCAGTGAGCTCCATTTGTCTGAGATAAAGAGGACTCCTAATAAATCATTACTCATTATCTCAAGGCCCCTGTGTTAATTTCCCTTAGTCCATCCAATTAGTGTGTTTTTGTAACAAACATTTATAAAACTTAATTTTCAGATCCTGTCAGATAAGTCAAGAGGCTGTGCCTGGGCTTTGCTGAGAAAGTGGCTCAGGGAGATTTCTGGACCCTGACTGATTGTTTGTGTACTACAAAAGCCCAAGAATGAAAATTGGGTTCTATTGATTCTAATTAGGGAAACATTAAATAAGATTTACCTAGAAACAGTGCTGTCGGCTATTCCATTTTCCGAATAATGGGAATTTCTTCGCTTCAGCCAAATTTCTCTAACCCTTCCGGTCAAGTCCACTGACTTGGGTAAAACAAGTACCATCTTCTCAGTACTAAAGGAAGTAGAGTCAGGATTTTCTTTGGGTACATTTCTGTGCCCTTTGTTGAATGTTGCATTTTCTTCTAATCCTGAGAATCCAGTGGTTGCTGACAGGTTTTGTCGCATTGTCAGAGCAATGGAAGTTGAAACTTTTCCAAGTGTAACTAAACATACAGGGTGTTGTTTCCATAGCATATATAAGAAACAAATGCCATTCTTCACAGATCCTAAAAGTTAAAAAAAAAAAAAAAAGAATCTGTATTTAATTTTATTTTTTTCCTACAAAATATGGTGTTTGGGAATATTTCCTCCCAAATCTGCATTTTCAATTTGGTGATAATTGAATATTCCTGCCAATGAACGGTTATCTTTGATGATTTGCAATAAATGTAATTCTTAAAGCAGCCATAATAATAAAGTTTTTAAACGTTAGAAAAATTGCTAATTATAGCTTGGATAATTTCCTTGTCATTTCATTAAAGAAGACCAAAACGCATGCTACGTTTTCAATTCTAAGAAATATGCAGTCTTTTCATTTAGGGTTAAGAAGTTAATGATGGGTTAAATAGTTAATAATGAAAGGAAAATTATCTAGTAAACACAGAGGAAACTTTGGCTTTGCTCACAAAAGTCCCATTTAATGCCCTGGTTTTCTAGAGTAATAGTAGTACATAGAGCATAAAAATATTTGGGTTTATTCTTACCCATTTGTATCTCTTAATTTAGAAGAAAGTACAAACTCTAAAGCTACACATAGAAATTGAAAATAGGGCCAACAAGAAAAATCATTCTGTTAGCAAGGCTTTACAGCCCTTCCATAAACTCTCACATGCCCCTAAGCAATAAAACACATTTGATGTGATGCTTTCCATTTGTCTCTAGTGTTTATTTTATGAAGGATTTTAAAAACATATATCACAAATTTCAGACAGATAAATCTGAGCCAGAGAATGAGCTAAAGACAACAGATAAAAATCGAGGATTAAAGAATTAGGCGCTCCAAAGAGAAAATATTGTCGCCTTTAAGTAGGAGTAGTTTTCTGGAAACTGATATTGGCTATATTTGAAAGATTGGCTGGGTGTGTGGGGAGGGAGAGAAAGGAGAGAAATTCCTATTTAATGCATCCCACAGAGATAGAGTTATATAGTCAGTAATTCACCCAGGCAGAAGGGCTCTGACCTTTGCTCTTCTTTAAAAGAATTAAGACAATTAATGACTTTCGTGCCCATTACGACTCTGGGCACTGGTAGTTCTCTGCCTTCCACATTATATTCTACAGTTCAGTGGCTCATTGTGGATTTTTATTTTAAAGATGTTGTATACTATTTAATCTGCTTCCCGAAATCCCACTTAAGAATCAAAGAGCAAACCTAGAAAGCATCTAACTTCTCTGATCTGTTTGCTATAAAAAATTTCATTACAGGACAGATGCTTCATTCCAGCAAAGGCAGGTAGAGCAAAGAAGAAAGGAATACATTCTGTTACAACTGCAGTGGCTTATTTCTTGCTATGAGTTTTCCCGAACACTGTTTGCTATATATATATATATAGAGAATATTTGGGGTTTATTGTAGACAATTTGAATTATTTTTCAAGATGCGGCATACTTTAGGGTTTGTGAAACAGGGATGATGCTACTAGTGATCTTGTAGTGCTCTGGTCTGATCCTGCAGATAACAAGATTGTCTCACATTTGTTGGTGGCCGAACCGGAGAAGATCTATGCCATGCCTGACCCTACGGTCCCTGACAGTGACATCAAAGCCCTCACTACACTGTGTGACTTGGCTGACCGAGAGTTGGTGGTTATCATTGGATGGGCGAAGCATATTCCAGGTACATTTTCTGAAAAGAAAAAAAATGAAACAGAAAAGGTTGCAATGATTCCCTAGGTTGCCTATGTAGATTTAGACAAATTCAAAATTTTCTCATTAGTATGGTTTTTAACCTCTACATTTGTTTTTATCATACTTAATTTAGAGCTTTGCTGATCCTAATCGAATCATAAACCTTTCTATGTCTGTAGCACCTCGAACACTTGTTATTTTCTTCATATGCAAAAGCACTATTGCCAATATAAGATAAAGAAGAATGTATCTTTAAAAAATATGTCTTTATTCCTCTTAAAATTCTGACCTTTCCCTTCAGGAGATACTTCTGCTTTTTCTTTTCACTTAAAACAATGTCTTTGTCAGCAGTTATCTAATGTACCTTTTTTTTTTCTGTTAAGAATAACTCATTCTGTTGTTCGTGGTGGCTATTTACACTGAATTGCTATTTGTATTTATAAGCTCTCCTTTGGTTGACATTTACTATTTCCCATGGATTTGAACACAGATGATAAAAATGAATATTAAATTGACATCATACAGTTTCTCATACGGTAACTTAAAAGTAGTATTTGAAAGTAGCCTATTACTTTGCTTTCTTGGCCAGTCCCATACCATCCATAAACATAGAGCTGATCACAAGTTTTGAGAATTTTAGTAGTCTGCTTGAATTATTTGTTATTTGTTTGTTTGAACTTTGATCTTCAGGTAGTTAAGAAACAAGTTTTTGAATGATGCGCACTGTTTTCCTGGCACAGTTAACTTATTTCTGTCTCCTTAAACTAGTTTGTCTTTATGCTTTGAATGCTACAGTAATTTCTTTAATCAAATTGATGGAAGTCCCTTTCCCAGCCCACACTGAAACCAATTTCTTGGTCATGATACGCCAGCTATGTTGCTAACAGTCGTAACGAACTGTCAGGCGATATCGCAGTGAAGCTAATTTGAAGTCATTAGGTGTGCAGCGTTCAGGCGACAATTTGTTACAGTGGTTAGGAACACAGCTGACATTTCTGAATGGCTTTGTTCGGTGCAGTTCTAGATGAGGCCAAGCAAATTGTAAACTAATTTAAACATCACTCTGTATTATACTAGCTACTTTGTCTTACACTGTTTGCTAATAAAGCACCCCAAATTAAGTCAAAACTAGTTAAATAGGTGAGCTTGAGTGTGTTCTTTGGAAGATACCTGTACGAGGGCTACTGCATGTGAAAGGAGAAGCATTTGATCATCTGGGTAGTTGATATTGCACTTCGATTGTAATCACACTCGTGTGACTTCTAGAAAAACGAATAAAGGATATGCTGAAAGATGTTGAGACCTTTGGGAATTGTAGCATTAGGAGATGTCAGAATTCACTTAAACAATGCATGAAGACTTTTCTGACTTATCTGGATGCAAAGTGTGTTGAAGTGTTTTAAAGCAAAAAGAAACAAAAGCTAACATCTGTTGAAGTATCCACAGACCCTTTTGAAGATAATCAATATATATCATTTGTATTTACGTATTTTATTATTTTATATAAACAGAGACACACACACACACATATACTCAGCTATTTATTTTATTTTTAAATTTTTTAAAAAAGATCTTATTTTTAAGTAATCTCTACACCCCGTGTGGGGCTCGAACCCACAACCCTGAGATCAAGAGTTGCACTCTCTACTGACTGAGCCAGCCAGGCACACCTACCTATACTCACATATTTAAAATATCGTTATTCTAACCCAGGGCTTCTCAGCCTTGACACTATTGACACTTGGAACCAATTATCCTTTGTTGTGGGGGACTTTCCCGCTCATGGGAGGGTGCTTACAAGCTTCCTTGGCTTTTACCACTAGTCCCCTTGAGTTGTGACAAACAAACATGTCCTCAGGTACGGACATATGTCCGCTGGCAAGCAAAACTGTGCCCCAGCTTCCCAACTGAGAACTGTTATTCTCACCTGGGAATCGAGTAGTATCATCTGTGATTCATAGCTAGGGACAGTTGAAGCATAAAGAGGTAAAAACACTTACACAGAATCACAAACGTATCCGGTACCATCAAAGCATATATTCAGCATTGCTTCCTGGAGTAGAGTCAGGAGACCCAGTTGACTGCATTTCACAGAACCATTTCAGAATACTAATGATAATAATGTTAATGTTATTGATAACGACATGAAAGACCATGTAACTATGACTCCAAACCACCCATTATTTCAGAGAACTCTGCCCAAGTTCTCCCTGAATTGAGATACATGTTAAACCAATCCTTTAATATTGTTCAGACATCCCATAATAAAGACCAATAAAAGGCAACAACTCCTTACAGTGCTCTCTGGTAAGGGAAAGTCAGTGATAAATTTGTGGGTCCAGTTGTGCATCTAAGTAGAAATGTCAGCTTACAAAGGAACTTGTCACAGTAAAGGGGCTCTAGTGACTTTTGTGAAGACAGTAACTTTAAATAACTATGAGTAACAGCATTTCCAGTGGTGGAAACAATTACTGTACGATTATGTGTTCAGTCTTAAGCTGAGGCTTAGAATCGGTGGGGACTGACGTTATTCTCTCTCCATAGCAAATGCCAGAGGAGGTCACTGTGAAGTGATGATTCACAGCTCTGGTGTTCCACAGCTCTGGTGTTCCCGATACCCTCAGGGTGTTTTAAATGATTGCAAGGAGTGGGTTGGCTTTTCAGAAAAGGATTAGCTGAACAAGAATTTAACTGAAATTCTTTTAAATTGTTAAATAATGAGTGTGCCATGCAGTGCTTTGAGGTAGAGGAAGAGGATGCTCTGATCTTAGAGTGCTGGTGTACCCCGAGTTCAGGGAGGTTGGGCAGAGCAGCAGTGTGGAGTCTGGGATGGGGGGCTGGTGGGGAGAGAGGGAGACAAAGAGAATATAAAGATTAAGGTCACATTTGTGCCATGATAGAAGTAAAATCGTGTTCCTGATAACATGACCCAGTCCTCATAACTGGGGTCAGAGCCTGAATTAAAGCCAAATCAGAACAGAAATTCCACCTGTCTTTGTCTTAAGCATTTTAAAGTTATGTTAAAATTAAAATGAAATATTTTTTAATACCAAAATTTAAGCCTCTGCTCTCTTTATGCTGCTCTCAGTTTGTATAATCACACACACACACACACACACACACACACACACACACACAGAGTTCAAAAATTAAGTTTAGCATCTAAGATAAGATCAGTAGCCTTTCTACACTGCTGGGAATGTACTCTTGTATTCTTGCTTTTGCTACATAAAAAAATGAAGAATTCAACAAAAGAAAATATTGAAGAAAATACATATGGAGTGGTTTTTTTTTTTATCAGTAAATCGAATTAGTTGACTTACTTTAATAAATCATATAAATGGAAAAGTGTGTTCTTACAAAACATGACCATACTTTATCTATAGAAGAAAAAAGATCACAAGGGCTTTAGAAAATGCTTGACTTTAGTTGGAGGAGCATAAGGGCACAAGAACAGATGATGGTGCCCTAATAGCCCTTTTTAAGAATGACAGGGCCCCGCCATTAGCATCCTTTTATATCCTTGGAAATTGCTCATGCCTCGCTTTTCTGGTTCCTATCTGCCTGACTCTTTTTTATTTCTCTTTCAATTTCGTCCGCGCTCGGATAAGCGCATGCTAACACAATATGATTGAGCTGTAAAATGGAACGCTGTCGCCTCTAATCTCTTTTATGTAGATACGGACTTACTGCACACTCCACTTCATTCTCTCCCCATTGTTGGCCTTTTTTTAGAATGGGCTGCCAAGTAATGGAGGCTCCGTCAAATATTAGAGCTAGGTTTCACAGGGTGTGATAAGACGATTATCAGCCCAGCAGTCAGATCTATTATTGTTCTTTGTGGTTGATTAAAATATTATTATGTACCGTTACTTTGTTAGCAAAATGCAGAATGTGCTTAGTCAGATGGTGCTTAAAAAAGCATAACCCATATTAGCTGACCTATATAAGTGGCTTAAATATATTATGGGTCTCATCCGACAGTTCACTTTAAAAGAATGGAAGGGTATTTGAACAATTAAGTGAATGAATATATTTTAGAACGTTTTTTTCTTTTATCATATATGGTAAGTTTTCAGGTAAGCTTCTTTATTTTTAACATGACAAATTAAACAGCTGTCCTACTGAACGAGAGGACTCGGCATAAGTTCAGGGCCTCTTAGTCACATTTATAAAATGGTATTTATTGTAATGACATCACACAAACAAACAAAAAACTCTAATTTTTATTCATGCTCAGTGAAGGCAGGAAATACTAAGCTGTAAAGGAAAACCACACTAGGAAGATAATGTGAGAAAACAGTCTTTATGGGTAGTTTATTCATGTAAGAAACAGAAATCTACAGATTACAAACCAGTGTTTTTCATTTACACTGAAATATTTTTTGTAAAAACAATCCGTTAGAAGAATATATCAAAAATTGCTCATTGAGTTGGGATTTGTATATTTTTCTCAACAGAAGTATTGAGATTTTTCTAGAAATGACAAATCTCTAAAGAAGATGTATAAGCTATTTCTACATTAGGATGTAAATCTTGTGGGCAAATACCCAAGAATATTTTGAACATTTATTGCTAATGATACTGTTTAAAAATCTATCTGTTGTTCTAATGCATTTTCTATAGAGACCAGTTTTTTTAAGATTATGTCATCTGCCAATCAGAGTTGTGGAGGTTTTTATTTTTTTAATTTTTAAAATATTTTTTAAAGTTATTCATTTATTAATTTTGAGAGAGAGAGGGAGGGAGGGAGTAGTGGAGAGAGGAGAGAAAGAATCTCAAGCAGGCTCTGCACTGTCAGTACGGAGCCCAACATAGGACTTGGCTCGATCCCAGGAACCCTGATGTCATGACCTAAACTGAAATCCAGAGTTGGATGCTCAACTGACTGAGCCACCCAGGCACCCTCAAAGTTGTGGAGGTTTTAAAATGCCCATTACTTACCTAAAACTGGTAGCACCATTAAGTGATAATGATATGCGCAAAAAG